TAGTTTCCCTGAACCTTGTGAGGTTAAGAACCGCCGCATGGCCTTCTACACCTCAAAAGGTTGATGAACAACAGCCAGTATCGTGAAATCATTGACCATACCTAATGTTGAATCAAGACAAAGAAGCATCTGAAGAGGTAAAAGGCAAGCATGACTACCCTCAGGACACAATGTATCAAATTTTAGCCAACAAATTAATACCCTGACATGACTAGAAGAATCCATAACAGCCCGACACCATGCACACTATAAGAAGCGGCTCTCATTTCTCTTCATCCACATATCATCATCAACATAATCATAACAAATGTAAGTTTCCCACACCCCATTAAACTCAAACTTTACAGAGTTCCAAACACAATAGTTTGGTTTTCTAGAATTCTCAAAAAATTAAACAAAAAAATAAAAAATTCAATCAACTTATTAGCACCAACAATGATCTGATTTCATAAACAAAACAGTTACAAAAGCCGAAAAGGCTTACCAAGAATTCCAGTATAATAGGAAAGGGGCACATCTTTGTCATGGATTTTAAATAGTCTCTGTTGCCGTAATCACACTGTACTCTTCCCATCCAGTTATTCCCCAAATGAAGTCGCCCTTTTTATAATCCGGATGCCTTGAATCCAAAACTTTAGCCACTCCACGTCCACTTATAGGCTACATTCATGCAAATTCCAAGAAAAAAAAATGTCACATCTAACTTCAGTGACACACAACCAACAAAATCTATTAGTTTATGAGCTAAAGTAAGCTATTCTCTCCATAATTTCCATCCACTACAAAGCAAGTAAATTTACACAAAACATCCACTAAAGCTACAGACTTTCCACTTCATTGTATAATTAAGAACAAAACCATGTTACAAAATTAATTACAAAAACTCAATTGCTGAAACAAATTGAAAAATGCAATCTTTACTTCGAAACATGCTAAAAGCAAGAGAAACGGTGATAAAACTCGAATGGATCTAAGGTAACTCACCGAACCAGGCTTCAAGGGAGAAATATAAGAGCCCTGAAAGTTTCTCATTCGGATTCTCATGCAAGGATCACAAGACAAGTAAAGATTTTTTTACAAGAACACCGTAAGTACAATCTTCTGGGACCTTGAGTGTGATAGTACTAGTAGTGATGTACATGTCTGACTCTTTAAGAACACCAGGCACGTAGTCCTTGAAGATCACTTGCTTGTTGCTCACCACTTCACCATCATCACTCTCCATTTTTCACTTCACGGTTGTCGCTTCAGTTCGTCTCTGTAATGTAGACAGAGGATGGACAGCTGGTCATGGGAGTGGTGTTTTAGCTGGGAGATTTTAAGGATAAGTTATCTTTCTAGTCCCTAATATTTGGATGTTTGACAGTTTAGCCTTTAATTTTCTAGACATTATTTTGAATTTTATAGATAGCCTGAAACCTATTTTCGAGATAAAAGATAGGATATTTTGTTTATTTTCTTAGTGTTCACATCATTTTATTTTATATTTAAACCAAAAACATTTTTCATCTCATATTAATAAATCATAAATATACATGCTTCAAATTTCACATAAAAAATATATTTATATTATATTTATATAATAAATTATAAAATAAATTAGCAACTAACTAGAATATATATATATATATATATATATATATATATATATATATGATACAAGCATCTAGGGTTGTAGAAAAAATACATTTTAAAAAAAAAATTCTAGATTTTTGCTGGATCAACCGAGTTTTAGGATGACCTGATGAGTCAACTAATTTACTCCAGATTAATTACAAGCTAAGATTTTAAATGAAACATACTCACCTAATAGTACTGAGTGCTGCTTTCAAAGCAGAACCTTAAAGGTTGGATTATGGTCTTAGCATGGCCAATTTGTTAGATTATAGATAAAAAAAGATCCATAGATATTGGGTTCTAGTAGCAGATGAGTCCAATTAGGTGTTGGGTCATGGTGGTAGGCAGGGCTCACCACTATTGAATCCTAGTTATTGGGTCGTAGTGTGTGAGAAAATGTTATTGTTGTTACTATTTTGGGTCCTGCATCCGGCAGGATTCAACACCTAATTAGGTCTTGCACCAATACAACCCAATGATATTTTAGGTTTTAAACACGTCAAGATCCAAAGTAATTTTATACCCTACATTAGCAAGATTTAGGGTTATTTTAGATCATACATTCAACAGGACTTAACACCTCATTGGATTCTGCTTGTACAGGACTCAACATCCACATAAGTCCTACACTAGGCAGGACCAGAGATATTATAAGTCCTACACAAGATAGAACTCAACATTTAATTGGACCTTGCACCCTACAGGACCAATCAGATGTTAGGTCATGGTAGGGTGGAAAGCAAGGCCCAGATCTATTGGGTCCTAGTTATGAGACCCAATATTATTGGGTCTTAGTGAGGTGAAAGACAAAGCCCACTGCCACTGCTGTTGAATCCTAATTGTTGGGTCGTGGTGTGTGGGAGACTATTATTGTTATTACTACTTTGAGTCCTACACCCGGTAAAACCCAACGTCCAATTGGGTCCTACACCTTGTAGGATCTATGGCCTAATTATTGGGTTATGGTGAGGTGGAAGGCAGAGCCCAAAGCTATTGGGTTATGTTTATAAGATTCAATATTGTTAGGTCCTAGTGAGGTGGGAAATAAAGCCCATCATTGTTGAATTCTAGTTGTTGGGTCACGGTGTGTAGAAAGCTGTTATTATTATTATTACTTTGGGTTTTGCACTCGATAGGAACCAACATCTAATTGGGTCCTTCATCAGTAGGACCTAACACTTACTTGGATTCAATACCAACAATACCCAATGTTATTTTGGGTTTTGCATTTGTTAGGATCCAAAGCAATTTTAAACCTTGTATCAGCGAGACCCAATGTTATTGTTGGTTATGCATCTGGTAGGACCCAACACCCATATAGGTCCTGCAGCAGGTAAGAGGAGCCAAAACTATTTTGGGTTTTGCGCACCTTAAGACCCAAAGCAATTACAAGTCGTACACGTGGTAAGATCCGGCTCTAATGGTTCTTGCAAGGAGCTAGACCTAACACATAATTTCTTATATATTTAATAATATATATAATTCAAAATTATTGCATAAAAAAATTTAAAGATAATAAAATATTGATAAAATTCTAAATCTCATATAAAGTATACAGCTCCATCAACTTTATCATGACAATATAGAGAATAGAATTAAAAAAATTTCAAATTTTTTAAAAGTATTTTTAAAACTATAAATCATGTGCACCTTTGAAGCCCCAAGTTTTTTGGGTTTGGAAGGGATGTCATATCCAAATTAATAATAATAATAAGAATAATTGATTTTATCCTTAAAATAAAATTCTATGTTTTTTTTATAGTAGTAATATTTATTTTAAATTTAATATTTTTTCTTGGGTCTTATTTTACAGCCAAACACAATCTCAAAATATTTAAAAAACAATACAAAAATATATATAAAAAATTAATTTAAAGTAAAGATGAAAATTCAAAATTTTGTCTACACAATCTCAATATATATATAAAAAAACATATTTAAAAATAATACAAAGACTTCAAAAAATATTAATTTAAAGTAAATAAAAAAATTAAAAATCTTTAAATTTTTTATGTCTGGCTTGTGAAAAATTAATTTAAAGTAATTTAAAAATTAAAAATTAAAAAAAAATTAACATTGTTGGTTCTTGTTAGAAGACAAGACCCAACACTGTTGATATTTTTTAAAAGTGTTTTGGGTATGGTGTTTTAAGTAAAATTTAATTTTAATTATTATAATATACAGCTATAAAATAATTAGAAAATTATGAATTAGAAACATGGAATTCATAAAGATAATAAAGAAGCAGATGATGAAGATGTCCAGTGAGCTTGCGATGCTAGATAAGGAAGCTTTGATTAACTGAATGCTAATTTTTTCCCTACAGCAAGAGATAAGTGTAACTGTAAGCTACAAATTATTCTTAAACATCGAAGATTCTTGAAGATAAATAAGAAATGAGAAATAAAGATGCAATTGTTGTTGAGCATATAAGCTCATAATAAAAGAAAAGGCAATTAGGAAATAAAGACAACGCCCCCACCCCCCCGGCACTTACAATATCATCCATATTTAATGGCTCTATTGGGTCTGGCAAGGAGACAGGATATAATATTATTGTTATTTTTTAAAAATATTTTGAATTTGATTTATTAATTATACCTCCTAATTTTTTTTTTTAAAGAAGACAATGCTTCTAGCTGTAATTCTTGACTAAAAACACGAGAAAGAAATATTCTTCAGCGTACTACAGTACTGTCTATAGTATTTATGATTACAATATCGTTCATAGGACAATGTTTCTGTGTCCATAATAAAAATATAGTATTTCTATAATGTTTTTCCATACGTAATATATAGTAAAGCAAATGTGTAAGCGCACAATTAAATATTTCTTGATCTACAGTACATACATGTATAATAATTGAATTGTCTCTTGATTCATAATGTATTTATATATAGTAAAAATCCAACACGTTTTAGAATTCTGTTAATGTTTTAGAGGGCAATTTTGAAGGATAAATTATATTTCCTGATATTTTTTTGTTAAATAAACAAATACTTTCAAATATATGATGGGGTAAAACAAAAACCACACTGTGTATTAAATAAATAAATATTTTAAAAAATATAATGGGGATAAAACACATATCACACCGTGTGTATTTAAGAATAAGTTTGTTTATGTTTTAAAATTATTTTTTTATTATAAAATTGATATTTTTTTAATATTTTTTATAATTTTAATATATTGATGTTAAAAATAAGATGAAAATTTAAAACAATTATTTTAATAAATTTAAAACAAAAGATATTTTACAAAACCGGCTGGAAATATAATATCAACTACGATCTTAGTGAACAAACTAAGTGTGAGACAAAATCAAATGAATATCAAGTAATAATTTATTTATTTATTTGTTTTAAAATAAAGAGTATTGGAACCACACATCACATCATCCCCCATGTTCCCCACTCGTTTGCGTCAAACTGAGGCTTTGACTTTGTAATTTCGATTAGTTAGCGTTGAGCTTAGGCTTTGTGCTTTGGTTTTCCTACTCGCCAGCACCTCCCGACCTGAGTTCCCATATATACAAGTGCATGGCAGGGAACACAGAGTCCCACCCACCTTGCAACATCTTTGATTCCAGATCCTACTTTCGTCTAGCTTTTCTACTTTCCTTGACATCTAGCCCTGTGATACTTCCTTTCTTGAATTTCTTCGCCATCTGTTCCATCTCATCCCTTCTCTTCTCCCGAAACATCAATCAAACTTCTTCTCCCTTCTGTCTTGTCCAGACCTGGAACATAAATCAAACGCTACTTGAATATTCAGATTGCATAAGAGGATGGAATTGAAGTTCGTAGCACCTGTGGCCAAGAATGGAAAGGAATTGGCCCTCGTTAATGAAGAGGATGTTGCGTCGGAGTTTAAAAGATGGGAAAACGCTGTGGTTGCTTATTTTCTTGGCCATGATTCAACCTTCGGCCCACCTTCTTTCAACAAGTTTATCAACAATTTAATCGACTCGGAGTGGAGAAAATACGGGAATGTTAAGGTATATTCACAAGGGTCAGGCGTTTTTGTCTTGGATTTTGAATCTGCTCGTGGCAAGGAGTTGGCATTGGGTGAGGGTCCAAGGTTTTATGATGGTAGTAAACCTTTTATTTTAAAGCCATGGAGTCGTGATATGAGCTTGGAAATCGAAGAGTTGAAGTCAGCACCGATTTGGATCAAGTTACCGAATCTGAGGTTGCATCTGTGGTCTCCTGAGGCACTTGGCAAGATTGTAAGTTTGGTGGGCAGACCTTTGTTTGCTGATACTGTAACAGCATCAAGAGAGACATTGTGCTTTGCAAGAGTTTGTGTCGAAGTGGGTTTTGATAAGATGTTACCTGATTCAGTCACCATTGAGGATGACAAGGGCTACAGCTATGATCAAAAGGTTGAGTATGAATGGCAGCCCACATCTAGATGCTCCTATTGTCTGCACCTTGGGCATTCTGATTCCTGTCCAAGACGCAAAACGACTTTCCCATGCCCTTTCTGTTTGGGACAGCACACGTTGCTGCAAATACTTCGTCTACGACAGCATTCGGTTCAACTCCTGCAATGTTCGGTGATGAAGCCCCAGCATTCGGTGCTAACTTTTCGTCCACTCCAGCATTTGGTTCAATTCCTGCTCCAACATTTGGTTCCACTCTGTTTGGTACTACTGCTCCTGGTGCTAGCAGTCCACAGGATGATGCAAGGACTTCTTTGTCTACTCCAGCATTTGGTTCGGAGCCTCCTGCTGCTGAATAAATTTCAATTTACCAATCTCCAAGCTCAATAGTTTGATTTTGAAAATTGTCGAAAAGAAAATAAGGAATTATTTTTTCAAACCTGTTTGTTATCCCAAAACAGTGCTCTGAATTTCATAAACAGAACCTTAAAAATAGATTAAAGCACATCTTGGTCATGAATTGCGATTGGTGTCTGTGTTTCTGTAATAAGACTATATTGTTCTTGAAATTTGTATGTCTTGAATCCAATCCTTTAGCAACTCCTCGCCCACCCGTAGGCTGCATTTGCATGATTTCAAGAATCCAAGTGTCACCAATTAATTCAGTAACCACACGAACACACATAAGAAACCCGATCATTGTACAACATGAATTCATCTAGACTCTTTAAAATTACCACCTTCTTGACTCTTAGCCATTTCAGTCCTGTAATTTGACACAAGACTTGCATAAGAATCCGATAGTTTCACTTCAATGTAGCTTTAAAATCAATCCCATGTCACTAAACGGCGTACAGAATCCAAATTTTTACTTGAAAGGCAAATAGAAACAGAGATAAAACTCATATGGGTATACGATAACTGATCAAAGCAGGCTTAGATGGATCAAGGGGAATGCCTTGGAGTTTTGTCATTAGGCCTTTCATGTAGGGATCGCATGACTGATAAAATTCTTCACAAGAATCCCATTCTTACATTCTGGTTCTGGGACCTTGAGTTTTATGGTACCTAGTTGTCACATTTTGCAAGTTTTCTAGCACAATATCATATCTGCTAAGGATGTCAAAAGGGAAACTGCTGTTCACACTTGCCAACCATGTATGTATTTTAGTAGCACTACAGTAACCTAACCTTAACAAAGATGCAATTGAGACGAAAAATAAAAATAAAAACAGCTAACCAAGAATTCCAGTATAATCGGAAAGAGGCACATCTGTGTTGAATTTTGGACAGTCCCTTTGTTGCTGTAATGAGACTATACTCTTCCCAACCAGTTACTCCCCAAACCAGGTCACCTTTCTTGAACTCTAGATGCACTGAATCCAAGACTATAGCCACTCCATATCCACTTGAAGGCTGAATATTTTCAACCAGGTCCATTTCGTACCTGCTCATGATGTCCTCATCCCACCTCTAGAAAGGAACCTGTTGGCCCTCATTTAAGAAGATCATCATGATCGGCAGGATTCTTGTGTTGAAAACACTAAATGAGGGAATTACCTTCACAACAGAAGTCTGTTAAAATCATCCAACAGGTAAAAATCTAAAAATACACGCCATTTTTTTAGATACGTGGCTTAAATTTTGGCTAGGAGTCAAGTGGATTGATAGAGAATTGGCTTGGTGTTAAAGATTAGGATTGCTTGTGCGGGCATATCAAAGATTAGGCTAGCTAAATAGCTTTTGCCTGTTTTTCTGGTTTTTGTATATAATTATTTTTTAAATCTTGATTTTATAGAAAATAAAATATTATGTTTTTATATATTTTATACTTTAAAATTCATTAAATGACAATTTTAGCTAAAAATATATATTTTTAAACCCTAACAAAAAGCATTTTTCTTAAATTAACAATAGTACAAATTACAAGGCATGTGTAATGAATGCATTTATAATTATTAAATAACTATTTTAATATTAATTTTTATCAAATAAATAGAAATAATAAAATTTGAATTTATAATTATTTAATTATTAAAATTTTAATATTATATCAAAAACATTATCTCAATACAATAATTTAAATTATTAAACTATTAAGTGGAGTTGGAACTTTTAAAATATTATTTATACTATTTTTTAATTAAAAAGATATTAAAATTAAAAAGCAAAAGCTAAAGCATACATCCTGTTTACCAAGAATTAAGGAACTGTGGATTGGCACAGTTCTCAATCAGATAGCCTGCTGATGTATTCTGGAGTTTTTGTCGGCTGGCTTAATTTTGTTTTTGGTCTGGCTTCGTCTGGCTTCTCTTTTGTCGTGGTCGGGTGTGGCATAGCTGGGTTTTCATTGGAAGGCCTTATTTTTAAAGAAATTTTACAAGAACTAAAATCAATTTTATATCACTTTTCTTTTACAATATTTGATAATGCCATTAAAATTATATTTTTAAAAAATTAAAAATTTATTTTAAAAAATAATTATTTTAATTTATTTTTTTAAAAATAAAAACAATTTAAACCGAAACCAGCACCATAGTTAAAAACACACTATAATAAGTAAATTATATTTGATGTGGATTTGGAGTCACTAATTCCAACCAAACCTTTTTTTTTTAGATTAATATGGATATTCGAGTTAATTTGTGCACATCACGACTAATCCCACAAACTCTAAAGTTAATGACCATATAATCCTATCATATTAGCAATTAAAAATTTAAATCTAAAACTATAAAACAAAAATTTTAATTATAAATTTTTATCACTTTACTACTACTATCTAGATGCTTCCAACCAATCATCCTTGAAACACAAAGAAGTTGACTTCTCCACTGGGACAAGGATGACAAAGACTTTGGAACTGTGGACGCCGTACGTAGTTAATAGTCAGATGTATCCTTGTCATTTGCCGCTGTTTTTATATCCTCAAAACTCGCTCTTCTTTCGATTCATATCCTAGAAGAAAACATTTTATAATTGTTAAAACAAGTCAATAAATTTGTGGACTAACAAATCAATGCATCTTTTATTCGTGTACTCAACGTGTTCAATAAAGAAATGAAAAATAAAGGTTATGAATATTTTACTTGATTTTTAAGAATGTAATTCCTAAATCATTGATAAAAAATTAAATTTAATGATTTCGCAAACAATCTTGTATCTCAAGAGCATCTTTGTCCATGGAATATTCAGCTAAAATTAATACGCAAAACTCCCATTTAATGCTTGCTAAGCCTGCTTGTCGTCAATAAATAAATAAAAAATATTGAGGGCAAAATCATTTTAGTGTAATAAATATTTATCATGAATGAGGTTTTCTCACCCTAACATGTTTTCTCTAAATTTAAATCATTAAAGTTCTTATTAATACTTATTATAATTATCATCATCAAATTAAATTAATTAGCGTAGGAGAGTTAAAGGGAATTGATATTAAAGTTGATGAAGTCCTCCTTTGTTTTTTTTTCTATTTTAGTTTAAACTTTGAAATTACAATCGAAAAGAGTTATTAAATATAGTAAGTATTATTAAATTGCTGGGATTAAAGATTTAATCTCAATTAACATTTAAGTTGACTGACGTGCAAATAATTCTATTGAAAAAAAAAACAAGAAAAGAAGAAGAAAAATAAGCCTACGTTAATTGACAAAAACTTATAAATCAGGACTTGAACCTTTTTCGTGGAAATTGGAGTCCTATAGGGCCATATTCCATTCTCTCTTTAATTACGTGTCCCATAGACTTGGCCTCTTGAGTTGAAGAAGTAGACTATCAAGTCAATGCATCTTTTCTTTGTGGCTTCGTTATTTCCATAGCAACATGGAGTCCATGCCAATCACTTTAAGATAAATCTTGAATTAAAAACAGGGATCAAATAAGATGTTTCTATAACTACAGGGACTAAAATGAGTTTCTGCCACCTTCGACCTCTACGCTCCACATCCATGATTACTACCCTAAACATGTTTTTAAGCTGTGGGTTTTGGTTCCAGAGTCCCAAATTTGGAATCAGGCTTGCATACTTTATCAATATACTCCCGGAGCTTATTTTTTATTCAGTTAAGTCCTGGAAGCGAAGTCTTCACAGCCCCCGTTTTAAGAAGCTATGTTCCTTAAAATGGAAGAGATTAATCTAATATAAGAATTAATGGCAATCAAAACTTCCTAAGTTTCAGCAATTGAAATTAATTACAAAACAAAATATTGAGGTTTCAATGTAAAAAGCTTATAATTGAAGGGCTGTGTTTATAATAAGTATGTGTTTAATATTGTGGTGTAAAGTTTTTTAGTTTTTTTAAAAAGTATTTTTTTGTTTGAAATTATATTAAAATAAGTCCCTTTTATTTTCTTAAAATTAACACATCAAAACTATTAAAACGTAATAAAAATATATTAAATTAATTTTTTAAGTCAAATATACTTTTACAATGTACAAAAACAAAAGATTTAATCTCAGCTAATATTTAAGTTGACTGACGTGCAAATACTTTTATTTTTTTTGAAAAAAGGAAGGGGAAATTAAAAGAAGTTGAAAATGAAGACTTAAGCTTCTTGACTAGTTTGTTTTCCCCACACTTTCGTGGAAATTACATTTCAATGCAGAAGAAGTCGCTCAACAATAAACGCTCTCTTCGGAGATTTCAGAAACAAAAAGAGATTTCAATTCAATTTTCCTTTTAAGTAGGTACTTATGATTCTTATTTCTCATTTTTGGTCATTCCAACCATTCCATTGTAGTCTACTCTGATGAACTCTCAAATCCAAATGGCTAATTTATTTTTTATCTACTCTTTTATGTTCTCCTTGTTAGCTACTTTCACCGTAACTAGTGCTACTGACACTGATGTTTATTGCTTGAAATCTATTAAGGATTCTATGATAGACCCTCATGGATACTTAAACACCACATGGGATTTCAACAACTATACAGAAGGTTTCATCTGTAGATTTCTGGGAGTCGACTGCTGGCATCCTGATGAGAACAGGGTCTTAAACCTCAGACTCTCTGACCTGGGGCTCGAGGGCCGGTTCCCTCCTGGCATCCAAAACTGCACAAGCTTAAGTGGTTTGGACCTTTCACATAATGAGCTCCAGGGACCGATTCCTTCTGACATCTTTAAAAGGCTACTATTCATCACTAACCTTGACCTATCCTACAACAACTTATCTGGTGAAATCCCATCAAGTATTGCCAATTTATCTTTCTTAAATGTTCTAAAACTCGACAACAACAAGCTAACAGGAAATATCCCACCACAAATTGGCCTTCTCGATCGGATCAGGGTCTTTACTGTTACTAACAATCGATTATCAGGTCCACTGCCAGCTTTTATACATAATATTCCAGCAGACAGCTTTGCGAACAACACAGGATTCTGTGGGATGCCTTTGGATAGCTGCTCAATTCATGAAATGAAGTTTTATTACTCATTCAAAAGTGGTTTTGTGATTGGTTATATAGTTTTTTCAACTTCAGTTGCAATTTTTTTTACATCCTGCTGTGTACCATGGGTGTATATTGTGGAGAGGAAAAAAAAAATCACAATATCAGAAATGATGATGTTGATGGTGAAGAGGAAGCATAAGATAACAGATGATGATCAAGCAGGCAGCTCCTCAACAGTAGGTCTCTTGGAGGAGGGAATTAAAGAGGTACTACTCTTTAAGATTGATATCTTTTTTTGTTTTAGTTTTGTTAGTTTTTATTTTTTAATTCCTTATTCAAGTTTTGAGCAAGAGCAGTTCAGTTTTTACTTCCAATTACGGGATGTTTATCTACACAAGACCCTGAATTCTTGAAGCTGGTTTAATTGCGATGTATATGTATGTTCTTCAGTACTAATATATTGAGATTTCTGTCCACAGATTTCCATGTTGGAGAAGAGGGTTACAAGAATGAGCTACGCAGATCTTAATGATGCCACCGATAATTTCAGTGAGAACAATGTCATCGGACAGGGAAAGATGGGGATGCTGTACAAGGCATCATTGCCTAATGGTTATGTCCTTGCAGTGAAGAAGTTGCATGACTCTCAGTTCCTTGAAGAACAATTTATATCCGAGTTGAAGATACTTGGTTCATTGAGACATATCAACGTACTTCCACTGTTGGGGTTTTGTGTTGAGTCAAACCAAAGGTTTCTGGTTTACAGTTATATGCCAAATGGTAACCTTTATGATTGGCTACATCCCATGGAAGAAGGTCAGGAAAAAGCTATGGAATGGGGTGTGAGGGTTAAAGTCGCCATCGGATTAGCAAGAGGCTTGGCATGGCTTCATCAGAACTGTCATACCGTCAAAATAATCCATCTTGACATAAGCTCAAGATGCATATTACTTGATCAGAACTTCCAGCCCAAGTTATCAAATTTTGGAGAGGCAATGCTCGTGAGTTCGACCTGCGCTTCCTCCGTA